ATTGGCACAGGATAGAGCAGGGTTTAGGGCTGTTGTACATAGGGTCACTATGAGTCACAAACGCCTCAATGGCACATAACAACAACAAACAAGATCTTACCTGTACATGATATTGATGTTGTTGTTGTTATTATGTGCTGTTGAGTCCCACATGACTCATTTTGTTGTTGTTGTTGATTGCCAGCAAGTCAAGCACAACTCCTAGTGACCCTATGAACAAAAGACCTGAAGCCCCTCTACAACCATCGACACTTATCAAAGTTCATAGGGTTTCCGGAGGCATGTTGTTTAGGAAGTGGATGCCGCTCCTGCTTCCAAACCTGTCATAGAATGTTACTGGTTGAGTCACCTGCGATGCAGAGAGACCCCTACGTTCAGCAGCTCTGAAGCCTGCCCTGTCCTGAGCCAGTCTCACTAACTCTGACACACCCACCGTCATTGTCCCAGTTACTGTATCAGTCCATCTCATCTGAGGTCTTCATAGTGACCTATCCTCAATAGCCCTGAAATCTGCTCTACCCTGAGCCAATCTTACTGTTTCCGACACACCTAACCCAATCATACCAGTCACTGAGTCAATCCATCTCATCCAGGGTCTTCCTCTCTTGTGCTGACCCTCCATCCTCCCAAGCATGACGTCCTTCTCCAAGGATTGATCCTGCCTTGCAACATGCCCAGAGTATGTCAGACGAAGCTTCAGAATCCTTGCCTCCAAGGAGCAGCCTGGCTTCACCCTCTCCAGAATGAACCTGTTTGTTCCCCTGGCAGCTCATGGTATAGTCAATTCTCTTCTCCAGCACCACAGTTCAACAGCATCAATTCTTCTATAATCCCTAGTTATTGTCCAGCTTTCTGACTCATAGCAAGTAATTGCGAAGACTATGGCCTGGATCAGGCGCACCTTAGTCTCCAGACTGATGTCATTGCTCTTCAGTACTCTGGAGATGTCCCTGACAGCAGACTTTCCCAGTGCAATTTTTTTTTTAATTTCCTGGCTGTTGGTACCAAGCTGATTGTGGAGCCAAGCAAACTAAAATTGTTAACAATCTTGATCTCTTCACCATCTATCATGATGCTGCCAATCAGCCCAGTGGTGAGAATCTTTGTTTTCTTGATGTTGAGCTTCAATCCATATTGAAGGCTGCAGTCCTTGACCTTCTGTAACAAGCGCTTCAGGTCCTCCTCAGTTTCAGCAAGCAGGGTTGCATCATTTGTGTAACACAGGTTGTTGATAATATTGTTCAATAATTTCCTAATTCCGCTGGCTCCTCGTTCCTGGGAACGGCATAAAGAAGACTCTCTGTAGTCGGTAGGCCAAGCTGCTGTCTCCCAAGCTTCCTAGCAGAGCTGAGTCAGCAACTTCGGAAGTACCTTGTTTGTTGAAATCTCTCCATTGACAAGACGTCAATTCTGGAGCCTTGTTTTTCACCAACGCCATCAGTGCAACTTGAACTTGGTTCATTATCAGCTGTTCTTCACCATATGCTGCTTCCTGAAACGGTTGAACATGGACAGCAACCATGTGACCCACAAATCCCATGGCTGAATAAATGCCCCAATGGCCTGAAGGCAGAGACTCAGAGACATGACCACTTGTGTTCATTGATCACAACAATCAGAAAGGTGACAAGAACGCAAATGCCCACCAGCCGATGAATGGAGGAACCAGATGTGCAATGACAGGAGAACTGATGCCTTTGAGCTGTGGCGCTGGAGAAGAGCACTGACTGTCCCAGGGACAGCCACAAGGACACACAGCTATGTGTTGGGGAAAATGCCGCCAGAGCGCTCCTTGAAGGCAAGGGTGGAGAAGCTTCACCTCACATACCTGTGCATGTTGCCAGGAGAGGCCAGTCCTTGTAAAGAGACATTATGCTAAGGTGGAGGGTCAGAGAAAGAGAGGAAGACCTTCAAGATAGGGGCTGACTTCGGCAAGGCGCTCAGGCGTGTCAGGGATGGTAAGTGAGGATGGCCCAGGACGGGACAGGGTCAGATCTGTTGTTCACAGGACCGCTTGAGTCGCACTTGATGTCCCCTAACAACAAAGAGACGCATATTGTGTGACCTCACTCGTATAAAAAGACAAGAAAAGGCAAATGTACAGAGAATGAGGTTCATTAGTGGTCACCAGGGTGAGAGGAGAGGCATGGAGAGGTGAGTGGTGACGGGAAACTGCACTGAACTGCATGGAGGGTTAACGTAACAGCTGCCAGTGAACGGCACACCTGGAGAACAGCCGAGCTGGTGCAAGCCGTGTGACTGACACAGTGACTGTAGTTACACAGGGAGGAGGTGGGAGGCATGGAGACTGAAGCTCACCAGCAGCGGCCTGAGACACAATTGGTCTTTGCTTTCCTGAAAGGGCAGAGGGAGGAGATGGATAGGACAGAAGGAGACGTGTCCACTGTCAACTGTCAACTGTCTCCTTTGCTGTGAGGCCGGGAGACCCAGAAGGGGCCAGTCCTTGGCAAGGCGGAGGGTCAGCGCAGGAGAGGAAGGCCCTCGGTGAGGTGGACCAACAGGTGACTGCAGCCGTGGGCTCAGGCGTGTCACAGACGAGGAAGAGAGGGGCACAGGCAGGGTGTGGTCAGAGCTGTCCGCTGTCCATAGGGTCACCGTGAGTCAGGGGTGACTGGACAGCACCTGACAACAACAGAACATTCGGCTTCAGCAGTCCTGGTGCACACAGTGCAGGGACATTGGATGTGACATTGGCCACAGCCCTCATTCACCCTACTACTCACACCCAGATTTCCACCACTGTCTGCAGAAACCCCATGCCCCCCGAAGCCTGGAGTCCTCCCTCCCTCCTCCTGCCCCACCCCCGAGCGCTGCTGTTGTTGTCGGGTGCAGTGAAGTCGATTTTGGCCTCAGTGCAGACGCCGCATGGCAGAGGTGTCCTGAGGCCGTGGTATGGACAGGAGTAGGTCCTCACGTCTTTGGCTGCTGGGTGGACTTGAACCGTCAACCTTGTGGTTAGCAGTGGAGCACTGCGGTGCCCGCCCCAGGCTCTGCCCCCCATGAGCACAGGTCCCCTCTGCCCATCCACACCGCCCGCTCTGCCCTTTCCCACATTTTGTGTCCAGCTCAGCTTTCTGGCCTTCGCCCAGGCTGTTCCTTCTGCCCAGAATGCGGTTCCCTCTGCTTCTGCTCCTGGACCAGGAGGGGTGTGGCCGGCCTGGGGAAGTTGCAGAGGGCCCCACCAGCCCCGGCTGTGGTCAAGCACACGTTTCCTGTTCTTCACACTCCACTGACACCCCTGGAGCCCAGTGACCGCACCCCTTGGAGCTAGTCTCCCAAGGATCCCCGCACCCGTCACTTGAGACGTCTTCTAGACTCCTGTCCCGAAGGTGGGGGCTCCTGGGGGGGGGCTGAGCCAGGGGATGGCACAGGGGTGATTGAGGTTGGGGTGAGCTGGAAAAGAGGCTGGCAGGGTTGAATTCTGGGACGAGGTGTAATGTGGGTCCCGCCCCGGCCAGCTGAGACCTTGTAGCCCGGCCTTGTGCCTGGCCACCCACCCACATCTCAGATGTCCTTGTCTCACATGAGATGACCCCAGGAGGGTGAGGGGGAGCAGAGTCAGGGCTGGGGTCCCTCGTAGGGTTCCCCTTCATCTCCAAGGACTTTGTCCACACTTCTGACATTCACCGCACCCCCTGGCCCTCCCCCAGTCCAGAGTCCCTCTCCAGCATGAGCGGCCCTGAGCCATCAGCCGAGGAGCCCAGTGTGCCCACCTGGCCAGCGCAGCCCACCTACAGCAACTTGGGTGAGTGCTGGGCACTGGGAGGGGGTGGCCAGGCCTGCTGAGCTCCCGGGCAGCGTGGGCTGGGACCCGATTGTATGATGGAGAAGTCAGGGTTCAGCAAGGACCAGTCGCCTGCCTGGGGCCACACTCATGCCAGGCACGACCCGCCCCCCTTCGAGCCTCAGTTTCCTCTTCTGTCATTGAGGACCATTTCTGTATGTTGCGTTAGCTAATGTTCCTAAAACAGAGACACTCTGGGAAGGTACTCTCTCAGCTCAGGAAGCTTTTGTTATCCGCATCGACTCCACGTGCTGCACCCAGAGCCCTGCCCCACCCTGCAGCACCCCACAATTTCCACTATGATTAACTTGTCGTCACAGCCACTGTGTCAATCCACCATGGATAGGGTCTTTCTCCTTCATGGACTCCATTTGCCCAAGTTTGATGTCCTGTTCTGGGACCTGATCTGCCTTACAGCATATTTAAAGTATGTGAAATGAAATCTCCCCGCCTTTCCCTCTAAAGGAAGCACCCAGTTACACTTCCTCCAAGACAGATTTACTGGATCTCTTGGCAGTCTGTGAGAGACTCAACACTGCATTCCAAGTCTTCCCTGGTCTTTCTTATTCTTTGTCCAACTTTCTGATGGATAGGAAGCAATTGAGAAGACCTTGGCTTAGATTAGGTGCACCTTAGTCTTTAAACTGACATCCTTGCTCTTTAGAACTTTAGAGCAGTTCCTGACAGCAGGTTTACCCAGTGCAATGCATCTTTTGATTTCTTGACTGTTGTTATCATGGGTGGATTAATGTGAACTCAAGTAGAACAAAATTGTTGACAACTTTAGTCTTTTTTCCATCTCTCATGATGTTGCCGATTGGGCCAGTGTGAAGATTTTTATTTTCTTGATGTTGAGATGGAATCCCTATTGGAGGCTATAGTCTTTAATCTTCTGCAGCAAGTGTTTCAAGTCCTCTTCGCTTTCAGCAAGCAAGGTTGTGTCATCTGCATAAGGCAGGTTGTTGATAAGTCTTCCTCTGTTCCTGATGCCACATTATTCTTCACAGAGTCCAATGTCTTCAGTGATTTGATCAGAGGATCACAATTAAGGGTTCTAGGATTCCCACTTGTTCTGAAGTTATCCACACTTTGTTATGATTTACACAGTTCCACAGATGTCCACATCCCACTGACAAAATATTTTAACAAAATATAAGATTGCAGGAGTCGATGAAATACCAATTGATAGGTTCCAACAAACAGGTGTGTTCCTTCATGTGCTGACTATACCATGACAAGAAATGTGTAACACAGTTACCTGGCCACTGACCGGAGGAGATTCATACGTATTTCTATTTTAAAAATACGCCAAAACAACCAAGTGATCCAAGAGTGTGAAAATGATCAATTATCATTAATATTACATGCAGTAAAATCTTAGTAAAGATTCTTTTTAAGTGGCTAGAACAGTGCATTGACAGGGAACTTGCTGAAATTCAAGCTGGATTCAGAAGAGGCCAGGGTACAGGGATACACTGCTGACATCAGATGGATCTTGGCTGAAAGCAGAGAATATCAGAAAGATGTTTAGTTGTGTTTTTGTGACTATGTGAAGGCCTTTGTGTGGATCCTAACAAGTTTTGGACAACTTTGAGTGAACAGGTCAGAGAGGTGAGGATTGTACGTGGTATTGCTAAGGAGATGTGGTGTGGTCTGTGGTCAGAGGCTGCACACACACGTGGATACGTCAGAGGCTCAGGTGGGAAAGGCAGTCAACCCTTCCCCGCTGAGACCCAAGGCCTCAGAGGCCCAGCGGGGGTCACTCAAAGGCAGTGAGTTGATTCTGGGGACACAGTTCAATTTGTAACACATGCCCTTTCTCACACCTCGATGCTGAGACAACAGACCTGCTCGTGGTGGCTCTGGAGGCAGGTGCCTGAAGCCACTATCATGGACCTGGCCGTGGACCGCAGCCCCTCTCCTCCTCTCGCCAGTTTCCTATGGCTTCAGGCATTCCTGGGCTTGCGACTGCACCCTCCTCCTTCCTCTCCGTCCTCCCTGCACCTTCCTCCTCCCCTCCATCCTCCCT